AATCTATTTGACAAACGGTGACAGATTGCATTAGACATCATGTCTGGACTCAGAGATGCTATGTGAACGAAAAGATTCTGTTACCCTCTGAAACATTTGTGCAAGTTTCTTAGCAACAACTTGAAATGCTTAATGCAAATATTTTGAAAATAATCTAGTTCTGAGGCAAAAAGAGAGATTTATTTCTAAGGCCTCATTGTAGGAAATGACAGAATTCTTCTTTCAACTTCAGTGGGTTTGGGCTCTTGTTCTGCGAAGAGTTGACAGTATTAGCTAGGGGAACGTATTTGTGGCACTGGAAATGTGCTCTTAACCTGACTGCAACAGCAAGCTTTAATTGCATCTCTCTGTAATGTGCTCTAAGGCCTGGTCTACACTAACCCCCCAATTTGAACTAAGGTACGCAATTTCAGCTACGTGAATAACGTAGCTGAAGTCGACGTACCTTAGTTCAAACTTACCGCGGTCCAGACGCGGCAGGCAGGCTCCCCCGTCAACTCCGCGTACTCCTCGCGCCGAACAAGATTACCGGAGTCGACGGGGGGCACTTCTGGGTTCAATTTATCGCGTCCAGACAAGACGCGATAAATCGAACCCAGAAGTTCGATTGCCTGCCGCCGAACAAGCGCGTAAGTATAGACAAGCCCTTAGTAAAGCAACCAGTGCCAGGTTAAATGAATATAAAACTCTGTCCTGCAATTAACAGAAAACCATAATCCTGTGGAGGGGACAAGTAATTAGATGCAGAATTCTGCTTAATCTTCCACCTCCATGCAGAAGGAGCATGTGTTTACAGATGGAAATCACTGAGATAAATGCTAAAGGATAGGCGGACCTGTTGCAGAGCCAGAGACTGTTAAAAGAAAAACAAACTCGGTGATAATTCCTTCACCAAGAAGCCTTCCATTAAGCCAGAATAGTAGGAAGAGAGACCATAGTGGTTAAAATTACGAGCCCTTCTTATATCTATGAGAGACAAGGAGACTCCTCCACACTTAAAGGAGAAATACACAAAAACAAGAAGGATGCTTCCTTCAATTTACACGTTCACATACATTGCATCACCTGTTTAATGGACAAGAGCTTCTCTCCTCTCCTCTCCCCCAGGCACCAGATATACTGTTTCCACTTTGCATGTTTGTGTTCTCTGGTAACACGGCAAGCAGAAGACTGTTGGGAGAGCTATACAACTGCAGCTTGCATCAGTTCTACACAAGCACTAGATTTAAGTCTTACGTTTGTTCCTCCCCCAGGAACTGACCGTGCGCATGCATCTAATACAACCCCAAAAAGGTAAACCTGTTCAGTTAAAAACAGGGAAGGCCAATTCGATTTTGTCAGATGGAGGTGACAGCCACAGCTAAGTGGTCATAGCAATATCCCTTATGAAATAGAGACAACGGGTCAGATCCTCAGCTGGCGTGACTCAATGGAGCAATGCTGATTTACACCAGTTGAGGATCTGGCCTAATGGGTCTAGCCAAACTTGTTTTCCTTTACTGTTTTATCTTCCCTTCTGCCTTTAAAGACTGCTTCGAACTACCACCCAAACAGCCACCATTGTTGCCGGAGTCCATCAAGTGAACTAGGATTCTTAAGGACAATAAGGGCTGCCAGTTCCCTGCACCTTGAGCCACTAGCTTCCGAGATCTCTAGCTATGTCTTTGTTTTTTTAGTCACTCGCCTTCGAGTCCACAGTGCAGTTCAGGCCTGAGTTTTCTGAGGAACGCCAAGTTTTACAAAGTTCCCAAAGTACCTATGTATACCAGGCATTATAAATAACATTTCCACATTTAAGTCAACTAGGTCCTGAGCTAAACTGGTTTATAGCCATCTGGAATTCTTCAGAAACAGTGACTTGTAAGCACTGTAAACCTTTTAGTCTTCATGGAGGACATAGAGAACTTCGAAATTAATTGCCATCTTAGGTTTGAGATCTGGGTTCAAGAGGAAGGGATAGATTTAAAAAATGATGATGAGGATGAGGATGATGATAACACCCCAGAGCAATCTGCTCTTTCCCTAATAAGGAAGGCTATCAGTGTCCCACAAGCAGCAAGGTGCCAATACGATTACTCGGTCTGTTTTTAGTTCTCTCTAGACAGCAATATTAACAGTTTGTTTCAGTCTGTTTATATGGTTCTGACAGGTCTTCAAGATGCTGTGTTCACTTGCCAGTGATTAATAGCCAGCCATGTACTAAGGTGAAGATCAAGCTGCAAAAGAATGCCTTTGGAACAGGACAGATAACTGGATTCTGGATTCTCTCCCCCAGCCCTTTAATTTCTGACTAGGAAACAGCACTAAATTTAGTAGCACCGGCTCACAGAGTTGTTTAAACTCCCCTTTCCTTGTAACTTGCCCATGTGATGAGCTGATGGGTGATTTAAATCACATATTTTGTTTGTGAATAGAGCTCATTTTCTTTGTCCAGCTGTTATGCTGAGCTATAGGGTCTGCATATTGGGACGCGACATATTCAGAATAAAGGTCCTGGAGCACGATTCCGGCCAGGTGATGCTGCTTCAATCTTGTTTTCCTCTCCAGGTCGGTCCAGCACCTTCGGGAAGGCAACCAGGGACCAAACTGGTGCCAAAATCACTCTGCTGGAGATGTCCACACGTGGGAGTCAGGCAGCTAACTCCCATTGACTTTCAATGGGAGTTGGGCACTTACCTGCCCTTTGTGCCTTTGAAATGGTCGCTCTATGGCTTTTGGAGCATCCCACAAGTTCCTACCAAACTAGACACTCTTCCCTATAACAAAGAGCAAGAGACAAGGACTGTGCATAAAGCTCTAGACACAAGCCCAGCCCCTGGCCACGGTGCTCCTCTCTCAGCTGTGTATTATATATAGGTCATGGGGAGAGAGGAATGGGAATTTCAGGCAGCGCTAGAAGACCAAGCTTAACTCAGGCTTATGTCATCGGGAGCATACGGAAAACAGGGCACCCAAGAACTGTCATAAAACACCCATCAAAGTTCTCTGTTTTTAATCATTGGGAGTCTGGAGGTCTGTGGGTCAGGAAAGGGAGTGTGTCCCCCTCCCGCCCTTTCCCCCTCCCACCCATTTATTAGCACTGTATGCTGGTCAGGGCTTTTCCTTCTGCTGCAGGGAATGTACCTTCAGCTGCTGCTTGACAGTGTGTCTCCAGGAAACCTCCATACAATAGATGACAGACATATCCTACCTACTAGCCTGCTTGTCCTTTCCTTTCTGTCTTCCCACAGAGCTGCACCTTACTTTACATTTTACTCGTTTTGATTACTTACTGGTATAAGAGTTTTATGGTATTTTTTTTTCCATCCCTTTTCTTCCAAAGCCTTGCACCTTTTCTACATTTCCTGACGAATTCTTACTGTCTTTCCTACCCCATCTCCTGAGCTGCCTCTATTTCTTCAGTCTTCCCCTTTTGGCCTCTTGGTAGTTCCCCTCAATTCTTATTTTCTCAAATTCTCTCTTTGTCCTAGTCCCTTGAATGCCTCTTCAGTCCCTTTGGACCCTTTCCTCTCATCTCTTTCCATCAGCTCCAGCTCAAAGTACCTCCTCCAGCCTCCTTGCTTTCCCCTTCGTCCCATTTCCTCTGGCCCCATTGCTTTTCTTTGTTCACTTCTCCTTTGATCTGTTTTCTTTCACTCTCTTCACTGACTCTCTTCAGTCTTTCCTACCTCCTCCTCGCTGTTTTAATCAGAGCATTCAGCATTAATCAAAAGCCGTAATTTCTTTTCAGCCACTTTTCTCCAGCCTCTGTAACACTGTTCTCCTTTTACCGGTAGTTTTATTGTAATTGAAGGAGAGAAAATAGGAGCAATATTACAACTGTACAGCAGGACAGCCAAAGTGATAATACTGTGCACTACAGCCAGAGAAAATAGGTTTAATTTTAAAAATACTGCAGATGGGCTCCCCGAAAGTTGAAGAAGCGAGTCTGTGTGTTGCTGCTCAATTCCACAACACATACACACAATATGTTTACACACAATAGGAACTCACCTGTTGCTCTCTAGAACTTTGCCACTTTTGCTTTGCTGTACTTGATGTAATTATTCAAGGCAGTGACATATAAGTTCTCTAATGAATAGCAATCATCACCTCGCTTCCATTCCTGGGACAAAGAAGCGAGTGCAAACCACCACAGCAAATTATACCAACCCTCCACATCCTCAAAAACATATATCCACAATACAGAGATTGGGACAGGCCCTCCATTTACTCTTCCTCCCTTTGGCAGTTGAATATTTCAAAACGGCAATGTTTCTAACTGAAGGTGACAGATTTGTTTTACTAGCAGACCTGAGAAATACAGATGCATAAGAGATGCATGTTCCAACAAGCCAGTTGCATTTGTCTGGATTCATTCACCTCACAGAAAAGAAAAAAGAAAAAAAGATAGATCCAAAACAGGCCTCTAGCCCCTTTCTTTAGGAGATCCAGGGTAAAAACAAAGTTGGCCTTTCTACAGTTGATCTGCTGGTGGAGTTGAAGAGGCTGTTTGTCTTTCAGAGCTATTTGGAGACGATCAGCAGCAGTTAGATGCGGCATGTTTTAAAATGAATTGTGCCTTTGATAAATAAACTTGTGGATTGCAATCTGCCCATTTTATTTTGAGGAAAAATCAGCAGGAAAGGAGGAACCGACATTACCCAAATCACACACTTTCCATTATCGCAGTGATGGCCTGAGATAATTATGTATTTTCAGCCTTAGACGCACCACTGAGGAGAAACAGCATGCTCCTATGGGAGGAATGACTTTAGGTACCCAAACTCCACAGTCAGCCCACATGAATCACTGAAACAGGCCTTCCTATGGCAGCAGACAATCTCGTTGTATAAAAAAGCCTCTGGTGACAACTACAGTGCACCTGGCTTTCACAATGGGTAATGGCTTCTGAATTGGATCATGGGAACCAAGAGGAGGTAGTGAGGGCTGAACATGTGCAGACAAGAAAGAGGCAGGACAACAGGAATCTTGTGCTGCATGTTGTCCGTGGTTCTTACCTCCTGCGCAGGTCTTCTGCCACTGCTGCTCTGCAGCTGAACAAATAGGCTCGGAGAGATCTCAGCTGCTGTCTCAGACGGACTACAGTCGCCAGCGGCTCAACATGTCTGTACAACATGGGATTTTCCTGCTGGATGTCAATCAACGGCTCCTCGTACACATACTCCAGGAACTCTTTGGCTTGCTTTGATACCTGAAAAACAAAGCACGCAGTTTAGATGTGTTTTCTTTCTGCCCTTCCTTAAATGGTTTTATTCCTCTCTTATGTGCGTTTTTAATCGTTATTTGAATCTGAAACCCTCTCTTGGAATTTCCATTGCCAACTCTTGGGGAAGGCAGAGTTGAGAGTGATCCCAATGTCAACTTCTATTGAGAGCCAACCCCTGCTTTATCGAGCACATTACGATAAACTTTAAGGACTTCTATCCTATCTTTCCAAATCACAGTGATATTCATAGCCATACAGATCCTTACCACTTCCCCTGTTGGTGAAGATCATGTACAGTATCTGTTTGATATTAGATAGTGCTCTATTGAGGACATTATCCTGCCATTGCAGTGGGATGAAGTTAATGATTTATTCTAATAGATCTTTTACATGTCTAACTACAATGATCATCAAACTACTCCCTCCAATGGCCTTTTCCTGTCTAGGAATGTTTACATGTGTTTGTGTGCAGATACACGGTGATTCTGATAAGTCGGATGCAATTGACAAAGAAAATTAATGAAATATTGAAGGCCCAATCCAGCTCCTTTTGAGCTGGAGTCATCTCAAACTTTAATGGGAGTTGGGTGGGGCCCTAAAAAGAGAGTCAAAAGTAGGTTAACATGTACAACAGAACCCATTGTACCATTAGCCATTCCAATGGTAATTCCTCCCATGTTTAGCTGTCATGTAAAAAACACATAACACTAAAAGAACAATCAGAACCACATCCAGCAATTTTTGAAAACAAGCATAGATGAGAAATGGGTATTATTATTATTCAGGAATCATGGTGTTTCATTTTCAAGAACTTTCTCTCTATCCTATGCCATCATGTTGTTCTGTACATCTGCACCCACAATAAGATACTGTTACCCCTTGGAACTTTTTGTCCTAACTGGGAAGGATACTTCCATTTCAAAGACCAAATACTCCTCCCCACCCTACTGCTTTATTTCTGCATTTTATCAAGGGGGGGGAAAGAGCCGAGATTATGTGAAATGAACTGCAAACCACTTGAAACTCTGCTGTAGAAAAATGATATGTTTCGCAATTCAATTAGTCCTTCTGGTCCTTAAAACCAGTGTTTACACTGAAGCAAGGCACCAATGAATTAGGCTAACAAAGCTACCTTTTATGAGGTGAACAAAAGGGCAAAGGCTACACTATAGTCTTCTCAGACTTAAAAGGCCTCTCCCTTCAGGTACTGTAGAAGATGAGGTAGACAAAGCAACATATGTCCTTATAGATGGTACCAGCTAGTGCAGTGGTTCTCTACCAAGGGTACATTTACTCCTTGGGGGTACGCAGAAGTCTTCTAGGGGGTGCATCAACTCATCTAGATATTTGCCTAGTTTTACAACAGGCTACAATAAAAGCACTAGCCAAGTCAGTACAAATCAAATTTTCATACAACGACTTGTTTATACTGCTCTATATACTGAAATGTAAGTACAATTTTTATATTCCAATTGGTTTATTTTATAACTATATAGTAAAAAGGAGAAAGCAAACAACTTTTCAGTAATAGTGTGCTGTGACACTTTTGTATTTGTATGTCTGATTTTGTAAGCAAGTAGTTTTTAAGTGAGGTGAAACTTGGGGATAGACAAGACAAATCAGACTCCTGAAAGGGGTACAGTAGTCTGGAAAGGCTGAGAACCACCGAGCTACTGGAATTAGGAGCAGGTCAGGGAAGAAGATGTTACAGTGAGAGATGATCCCAACTGTACCTCTTCACAATGAATAATCTCCATGTTAACAAAAATATCATACATAATGTCAAGTACTGGCTGCAGGTTAGTGATTATGCAGCTAATGCACTGGTATATTTTTAAACACAGGAGATACTGTAAGGTGAATTAAGGATCATGGTTCCACAGACTTTTATGGCTCAGAAGCTGTATTAAACATCCCACTCATCTCTCACCTTTTAGATTTTTTTTTTTAAACAGTGCACACCCAAGGAACTGCGCTGTCCAAACTGAGGAACAGAAAATCAGTAACAACCCGGGGAGGTAGGGTAAAGAACAAAATTCTTCAGATCCCAAATGCACAAAACTTTAGCTCCAGAAAAGTTTGGTGGCATCTCTTGGTTTTGTTCTGTTAGCGAGACTAATACAGCTGTACACTAGAGAGAAGAATACAACGATCTTCATCGTCACACTGCTTTTACACACATTAAACCATTTAGCCTTATAACACACCTGAGAGCTACCATACCTATAATAAGTATCAATCCTCTTGTACTGAGGGGGGTGGGAAAGTCAGATAGCAGCGATTCACTCAGCACCACCCAAGCACTCAATATCACAGCTCGGTTTGGAACTCAGGAGTTTCTTACTCCAAATCCCGTGCGAGGATCACTCGCAGATATACTTTGGTCCCCATCGGCACAGCATTCAAGCACACGTTGAAGGGCTTTGCTGTATCAAGGCCTAGGAATGTGCAAGTACGTAGTCTTAACTTTGAGAGCAGCCAGCAAGTGGAATGTAGAACACGGGGAGGTTTCCAGATTTTCTCCCACGGCAGAACCTGATGCCAGTATCCCCAGGGCTCAGTATTCCTTTTGGAGTATATTCTTTCACTGTGACTCAGCATTGAAATGATGGGAAAGCCCACTCGCCTGCCAGCAGCCTCAGGGCAGATATAGGAATGAGCAGGAAGTGATATTATATTTTTTCCATGGGGCACATTCATCAGCAGTGCACCCATGGATGGACGCATGCGCGCGCGCACACACACACACGTTAAAAGATTATTAAAGGTCGCAAAGTCAAGCACTCAAAAGTTAGGAAATGCCAGAATCAAGCTTGCCTGTGCAACCTTCATTCAGCCCCCGTGTGTGCATACTTTATGGTACACAGTCTTTAATTACAAGATCACGTTTTTTTCCCCAGGACCCCTGCCTCAGAGAGTGCACAGAATGGACAGTTAACTTATAACTCGGCCAAAATTGGGTGGATTTTCATGGGGATGACAAAAGACACGTCCCTGACACAAACGTCACCCCCTCCTACAAATTTTACATCCCTGCTCCAAAATATAGGCGTGCTAGCGCTGTTCAAAGAAAAAGTCACTAGGGTTTTTTTTAAACACAGGCAAAACAATGTATTTTTGCCCTATAGAATCATTTTCAGAAATGGCTGGATTTTTTTTGGAAAACTTCAGCCAAAACCTCAGCCTGAGATAGGAAAACTGGCAAGTCAAATTTCAGCCCAAATGGTTCATGTTTGGCAAAGTTATAAGCAACTGAAAACAGGGGCAAGCTTAATAATAGGTGGCACTACCAGCTCTGCCTATAATACACAAATACACACGCATATAATTTTATTAGAAACACCAGAAAATGTCATTCAAATACAAGTATTAAGATTGAAGAGCGCTCTTTAGCCTAAAATGTCAAAAGAAGAGGAATGGGGGGAAAACAAGGATCAGTACTTTTTTCTGGAGGCTGCCATCTTGTGCATCAGAATCTAAACACAAAAAGTCAGACTCATTGTAAACTCTTTGGAAGAAGGGCCGTCTCTCTTCTTGTGTTTGTGCAGCTCCTAGCACGCTTTTGGGTGCTACTGGAAGCAAACAGCAATACTTATTTATTACCTTTTGCATGTAACCAAGTAAAAGTTGCCAGAGAGAAGAGATTGCATAAGGATAGGACGAAGAGATATCTAAAAGATAATCTCCCTCAAGAACATGAAAAACTCTACTATGAAAAGGACTGAGAACCATAGCAAAAGTGGGAGCTGGGAGAAACTGTGTGAACTACGATTTTGGTTAAGAAATTGCTGTGTAAGTTGCTGTGTAAGGAAGCCTGCAGAAGCATGGCGAATGGGAAAGTCCTTTGAAAGGGTTTCTGTTAATCAAGGGGTTCTTTCTCTTAGTAGCCAAATGCTTTTGTATGCAAATCTAGTGTAATTCTCAAGATCCAGCACACGGTAAAGCTCAACTCTGTGGATTTCTCCAGGGGTGAAAGTAATTTACGGGACTTACCGGTACACAGGGCCAAGGTCCTGAGCAGGGGGCGGGGCCTCAACCAGAAGGGGCAGGGCGTTTAAATCCGGCTGCAGTAGCGGTGGCTGAGAGCACCAGGCCCCATGGTAGCGGTAGCTGCAGCGGCGGCTGGGAGCCCTGGGTCCTTTAAAATGCCACCATAGCGGCGGCCAGGAGCCCCAGAACCTTTAAATCGCCTCCAATACCCTTGGGCTCTGGCAGCGGGGCTCTGACAGCGATTTAAAGGGCCAGGGGCTCTGGCCGCTGCCGAGAGTCCCGGCCCCTTTAAATCGCCACTGGAGCCCCAGGGCTCCCGGTTGCTACCCCAAGGCTCCAGCAGCGGAGTGCAGGCAGTGATTTAAAGGGTCTGGGGCTTCGGCCACTGCCCGGAGCCCAGGGCCCTTTTAAATTGCTGGCCTGGGGAAGCTCCCCACTGCCTGTACCAGACCATACCGGCTTACTTTCACCTCTGATTTTTTCCAAGTCTCATCCTGTCAGAAGCAGACAGATGGGATCTTCTCCGACTGTGAAGACCAAGAGTTAATATTATACATGCTGTTCAAGTGCAGTGAATTCCAGGGAACAGCTGAAAACATATACCTAATTGTATCAGCGTTACCAAACAAGGCCCAAGCTATAGATCATACACTGGGGCTTGCTTCCTCAGCTTTGCTAGCGGCAGATATAATAGGTGCCAATGCACCTTGCAAAGGAGGACGAGATGGCTGGGGAGAAATTATTTCATGTTCTTCATCCACGGTTACTCTGTTCACAGGTTGAGTGATTGACACATTTTCTAGATAGTGCGAAATACAGAAGCATTCAATAGGTGGAAGCCACACTCATGTTCTCTCTGATATTTCACAGGACTGTGCTGAGCACGGTCCACTTTGACAAAGCCCTGTTCCTATCAGCCCCCATCGGTATATTACGGATCAGGTTGAAAGGGGGGCTCCTGCTGGAGTAGCTCCTCTCTAGTGCATTGCTGCGTTGAATTGATGAACAGTGTTGCCTCTTTGGTGAGGCTTTGGAGCGTGGTTCCATTTTGGGAGTGCTGTTCAAGAGATCTATCTGTGTAGGTACTTGTGGGACACTCAACATCAAGGTAGCTGCAATAGTAGTGGATGAGGATATCCTGCTTTGAAAGCGAGTCCAAGAGAAACAGAAATCATTAATACTAAGAACACCTGAGGAGCGTGGGATGGTGTTTCTGTCTCTGCCAGACCAGGACATAGAATCGATACACTAATAAAGAGTCATGCAGCTACATTATTGCTATTAAGTACTGCAGGCAAAACTAAGACACTTTTTTTTTTGCATCTGAAGTATCTAAATGGATTGTACAGTAGTGACACGGCATCACACTCTACATCTGAAGTATGAGAGAAAGAGAAAATGGAGATAAATGAAAGACTAAGGGTCATCTCAGGCCAGTGTGCACCACTACAGAAGAGGATTTGCTTAGTTCCAATAAAGGATACAATGAAGATAGAAACAAGGCATAAAATTGCAAAATCCAGTATAAAGAGGCAAAACTAACAGATTCCCTTGGACCCGATCAGTTACATAATGGGCTAGGAGACAAAGGATGGTCTTGTGGTTAAGGGACTGGCCTGGGACTCAGGGGACCTAGATTCAATTCCCAGCTCTGCCACAGACTTCACCGGTTACCTTGGGCAAGTCACTTGATCTCTCAGTGCCTCAGTTCCCCGTCTGTACATTGAGGATGATGATACTCCCCTACCTTGCTGGGGTGCTGTGAGGATAAATTAACACTCCTGAGAGACTCAGTTACTCCGGAGATATACGTACTTACAGAGAACTTGACACTGCTCCCAGCCAAGGGAATGTTCACAACTGTATTGTGCTTTGGCAAAGTGAAAATTGAGAATTTCTCATTGTTATAATCAGAATTAAATTGATTTTAAATTGAAGCCTAAAAACTCTATTCTGCCTTTATGCCCCAACTCTTTGAACACCGGCAGTTCCTTTTCTCCTGTAGCCAGACTGTTTGAAATGGTACAAGTTTTGAATTCTAAATTAAAAATCCAGTTTCTCTTCTTTATGGTCTCATTGACACATGTTTTCACTAGACTGCCTGCTTTACCATCCACTTGATCCACATTAGAGGCTCTCATCCCATCCCTGTCCAGCCAAATGAGTGGCCTTTGGGAAGGGCATCCAAAGGAAAACAATGTAATGTCTAATATTCAATATCTGGCCTCCTGGAGGAAAAAAAAAGAGATCCTTAATCTCTCTATGCAAGAACTTTATTAACTCCTGAAAAATCTGATATTATTTGGCATCAGATTATCATTTTCCTAATGGCAGGCTCTGGTTTCCTTTAATAATCTCTGTCTTTTGACAAATTTTCTTCTTCAAGAGAGCCTGCTTTTTCCCCTAACAGAGCATTTACCAGTTCTTTTATTTCCTTTTCAAATAACCCATAATAATAATAATATTCGCGGACGTTAAACATCAAACAGCCTCTCCTAACAGTGTCCGTTATGTTTGAAGCTTTAGTACAATCTTCCTTCCTCATAAGTCTGTTATTGTTTCAGCACACTCCCCCTGCAATGCCAAAACAACACCGTTAACCCTATGAAAACATCCAACAGAAATGCATGTTCTATGCTCCATTTCTCTGGTGCCCTTTGGGAAACATGCTAAGATGTATAAAATAGCCACTAGTATATATCTGCCTGTCTATCCATTCATCCATATTTGCATATCTATCCGTACACTCATAGCATCTGAGTGTTAAAAAAAAAGAAAGGTAAAATCAATCTAAAGAACTGTACTTATCTTCCACCTCACCCTCACATTATGACTGAATGTGCAAACCTCTCTCTTCATATTACTTCTGTTGCTTATGTCCAGGGAAGTGTTGAGGTGCCATCCTTCTGCTTTTATAAGAAGACTTGTGCTCAGAGACAAAGTCCACGATGTTCTGACGCTAGAGAGATCTGATTTCCCATAGGATGGAATTCCATAGGACTAGTGCCTGCCACCAAAAAAAAGCCCTGATCACCAAGCTCTCCTCTTGGGATCCATCAACTGTAGAGCTCCTGAGAATCACAGCTCCTGGAGCTGCGGCGAAAGAGGCAATGTCTGAGGTAGCCAAGGCCCAGTCCATGAGCCTAGGGAGGTTGTGGAATATCCATCATTGGAGATTTTTAAAAGTAGGTTAGACAAACACCTGTCAGGGATGGTCTAGATAATACTTAGTCAGCAGACCAGTTCTTATGCCCAGAGCCGGCTCCAGGCACCAGCCCTCCAAGCATGTGCTTGGGGCGGCACCTGGAGGGGGGCAGCGCTCACCCAGGGAGAGCGGAGCTGCGGCCGGGCTCTCTGCCCTTCTCCCGGCGCTCCGGACGGTCGGGGAGAGCGGGGCCGCGGCCGGGCTCTCCGCCCTCCTCCCGGCGCTCCGGACGGTCGGGGAGAGCGGGGCCGCGGCCGGGCTCTCCGCCCTCCTCCCGGCGCTCCGGCCGGTCGGGGAAAGCGGGGCCGCGGCCAGGCTCTCCGCCCTCCTCCCAGCGCTCCGGCCGGTTGGGGAGAGCAGGGCCGCGGCCAGGCTCGGCGCCCTCCCCTGCCGCGCTCCCCGCCGGGGGGCGGCAGGAGGCTTTTTTGCCTGGGGTGGCAAAAAAGCCAGAGCCGGCCCTGCTTACGCCTAGCAGCAGTTCGGCGGCTGCTTAAAACATTTGCCCACAGCTGTTATGACTCCTACATCGGCTTGTTCCTAGCCTGGTTCCTCTTTGTTCCAGTCCTGCTCCTGCCTTGTTCCTGACTGGGACCCAGCCCTGTTCCTGCCTTTCCTCAACCCAGGTAACCCGGTTCTGACCTTCAACTCCGCCTTCCGACTCTGCTTCCCGCTCCAACCACCGGGCACGACCCCTCTCAGCCAGGTCAGGAATGTGATCGACTGGATAATATTAGTCGATTGTAAAATTAGATTTTAACCTTCAGCATCATTTGTGTTTCTATTACATGGCGATGTATTTCTTCTCAAACCATCACGCGTGAAGATTACCTTGTATTTTGAAGTGTCCCAGTTATGAACCAGTCGCGCGGGGATTAGAAAGTTGTCATCCACATGGCAGGTGCTGCAGTAATACCATCCGCTGTAACTGCACACCTTGGCTTTTCCATTGGACAAGCCTATAGAGCGCTGACAACCTGGGAAAAGGAAAGAAGAAAATAATATTGATTTTGTATCCTTTGCTAGTGATGTTTCCTTGGGTGCGATAAGGGAGTTAATTAACCACTTCCCAGATGAGAGCGGTTTTAGAAGATGAACTGTTTCATATCCTTTGCAAATACCAGAATTCAGGATTCTGGTCCAAATTTCAAAAATGTCTACTAATTTTGGGCACCCAACTTGAGAGACCTACACCTGATTTTCAGAGGTGCTGAGCAGCACCTACAACTCCAACCAACGTCAACGGGAACCGTGGGTACTCAGCAGTCCATTCCTACCTGTCTCAAAGCTGGTCACTCAAATACTGAGGTCCCCTCAGAGTTTTGACCTGACATACACACAAAAACAACGCACCTGAAAAATCACTGTCTCTTTTTTTTTTAATGGCCCAAATCCTGGGTTCAGGATTTTGAGTGTCTACCATAAGAACTGCCGCTGCCGTAAACATCTGAAATTGGTTAGGAAGTGCTGTTTTGGGTGGCTGTCAGATTGTGAGATGTTTCAGGGCTTAAGGGTGAATCTCAAACTCCAGTCTTGGTGGCTAAATAAGGAAAGAGAGGAACAAGGGTTGCCAGCTCCGCCCCAGACTTTACTCTGTTTGGACAATATCAGCATCACTCTCATTTGGTTTTAGTCCTGACAAATGAACAAACACATTTTCCTTCAAAGGGATTCACTCTTGTCATCCCCCCAAATCAGATGTTTGACTTTTGTTGTTTACTTTTGAAAGAGAGTCAACATTGTAATTTTCAGCAATATTTTTCATTTGAAAAAGGGACAGTTCTGCAAGACAGCCATGATCTAGAGCAGTGGCTCTCAACTTTTGTCTTGGTGACCCCTTTCACATAGCAAGTCTCTGAGTGCGACCCCCCCTTATAAATTAAAAACACTTTTTTATATATTTAATGCCATTATAAATGCTGGAGGCAAAATAGGGTTTGGGGTGGAGGTTGACAGCTCGCGACCCCGCCATGTAATAATCTCACAACCCCCTGAGGGGTCCCGACCTCCAGTTTGAGAACCAATGACCTAGAGAATACTGCTTGAGCAAAGCCTTAATACCATGTCTTTCATACAGATGCATACCACCAACTTGCATAACATCATTTATTTGCGTACTAGACCCTCCCACCCAGTGCAAAATCCTTTATCTGTTGCTGACTGGATGAGTGCAAGCTAGCCATCTTCTAACAATGGGCACTGAACTGGCATACAATGGTCACACAAGGGGCACTGAATTGGCACGTACAAGTAAACCACACACTACAATGGCAAACAATAAGTACCATATTAACAACAGGGAGGACTAGTTTTATTAATTAGATGCCATGGGTTGTTGTAAACGTATATACATTGGGAAGGATACATGGGTATATTTCTTCTTTTCCCTTTGTTGTGCTTATTACACCTCTACCCCTATATAACGCTGTCCTCGGGAGCCAAAAAACCTTACCGCGTTATAGGTGAAACCGCGTTATATCGAACTTGCTTTGATCCGCCGGAGCGCGCAGCCCCACCCCCCTGGAGTGCTGCTTTACCACGTTATATCCGAATTCGTGTTATATCAGGTCGCGTTATATCGGAATAGAGGTGTATTAATAATCACTTGTATTACGGTAGTACTTATTTATATTATCGAGCGCCCAATCAGGATCAGATCATTGTGTACCCACACAGTGAGAGACAATCCCTGTCCTATAATCCACGGCCAGGTCTACACTAGACTCTTTTGTCAGTATAACAACATTGGTTTGGGCCGTGATTTTTTACTACATCTGTGCCAGCAAAAGCCCAAGTATAGATGCAGCGCTTTTGCCATTATAACTTATTTCATTCGGGAAACAAGCATAAATTTCACAGGTAAGCTGCATCTACACTAGGAAGATTTGCCAGTGCAGCCAGACTGGCAAAGGCAAACCTTTTCCAGTGTAGTCTAGGCCTAAATTAAACAACTTCTCCTCCCCACCTCAGTATTTGATGCTACTTTGGCCGTGTCTACACTAGAAAAGTTTTGCTAGCATAGCTATACTGGTATAGCTGTCCCAGCAAATCCTCCTACTATAGCTGTTTTCATTACTAAGAACATGGGCATGGGAACAGGATCTTTGTTGCCAAAGGACTGGTGTGCTTCTGCCACATACTGCCATCACCAAGTCCCTGTGACATCATAATGAGTTGCTGTGGAGATGTCTGTGAGATCACAGAGGATGTTAAGGAACTTACGTTGAAAACCGCAACTCATGCAAGTAGTCTATTGAACTCAATAAAGAGATTTGTGTATAAAGGTTTTCAAAACCCCCAAATCAGCAAGTAGCAACAGGAGCAGATTAACTCCTAAGCAAGAAATATCTCCTACTCATGAGATACAAGGGGAGAAAAACAAAAACCTGAAAACGTGATACATCCCGTATCAGCAGAACTTCACTAACGAACACTTTCCAAAGTGTCCTATGAGAAGTCGGCAATTCTTGAACATGAACTAAAATAACCAGCTTATCCACTCTACTTTAAGGGTAGAACAAGCCTCACAAAAAGGCTATTATTAAGAACAGGCCCTAAGCATAACTTACTTGTGACAGATGAATATAAAAGAAAAATACTTCTTTCAGCTGAAAATTAAAAAACGCAATTTTAAAAAGACAATTAAAAAAAAAGATATAGCACTGATTTCTGGTCCCAAACTAAAAACATGACGCACGGGCATGCTGTGATCAGGATGGCACATAAAATGAGAAGTCATAAATTATTAACAACAGCTCTCATAGAACATTTTCTATCCAGACATCTCAAAGAGAGTTACAAAAGTAGATATTATGTCCATGTTACAGATGGGTAAGCTGAGGCACAAGGCCCACTTTTTCAAAAAAAAGTGTCTAATGATTTTGGGTGCCCAACTTGAAACACCTGAGAACTGATTTTCAAAGGTGCTGAGTTCCCACGCTTGTATTTGAAATCCCTGGGAGCTGCAGGTGGCAAACATCTCTGAAAATCAGAATTTAGCTGTCTTCCAAAAATGGTGGCACCCAGAATAACCAGAACCTTTTAACAGTCTGGCCTTATAGTAAGTAACTTGAGCAACATCACACAACTAGTTAGCGGCAGCGCTGGAAATGGAATCCCATTTGGTGTCTCCCCGTTCCTGTGCCCTCAAAACTGGACGATTCTGCTTTCTGTATGCCCACAACACTGCTTTCCTTTCCAGTATCAGAACAATTGATTTGAAACATGAAACAATGAAGAACATTTACCATGACAGGATGACACATAAATTTAAACTAAGGACAAATTTGGGGCCCAAACACTTTGACCACATCCCTTACAACCAGCCCTTGGTAGGAAATTTACCTCGTCTCGTAAATCTGATGTGACTATGCAATTTTGTAGCCCTAGAAATAGTCCAATATGTTCATATTCCCATCTACGCACAACAAACATTTATCTGGAGCAGGACTGCCGACTTATTTGTTTAATAAACTGCTTCCATATTAGGGTGACCAGATCACAGGGATGAAATATCGGGACGCAGGGAGGGGCGGAGGGGGGGCGGAGCAAAAAAAAAAGGCGGCGGAGAC